ATGAGTAATTACATGGACCCTTAGGGGAAGCTTCGTGCTGCCGTCCACCACTCAATTTGTCCAAGGAGCGGGTATGACAAAACAACGACAGCCTCATACATGTCACAAACGCCAACATGTGCACGGACAAGGCTACCTCAAAGACAAGACACGTTCACTGTAGGATCGGTCACCTGGATGCCCACAAAATCGCCAACCTCCGAATCGAAAGACGCGAGCGGTTGAGAAACGCTCTGCCCTCGTTCCCTCTATCGAGAAGTTCGCTCCACGAGCCTTGGGAATCTCTTCCAAGGCTGGCTGATCTAGGCACAAAAGTGGCGTTCACACGAAAACGTCGCAAGTCTCTCAGCTGCAGAATGCCTCAACCCATGCCTAAAAGGGCGATCAAGATGCTGGTTGCTACGCCGTAGTCGAAAGCACTGAAAGCGTTGGCGAAGCCCATGACACCTCCTACCTGGTGGCAGGAGCACCAAGAATAACACGTGTGGTCACATGCTGCCTAAAAGGGCCTAAACTGCCTAGACCTAGACATGCCCATGCCCTTGCACCTGAATAGCATCGGGATTCCTCACCTGCACGCGATAATGCCTCGGACGGTGCGAGGCTGGCCGCATCCACAGGAAACAGGACGCACCGAATCGCTGCGAGGGCCGGGCCCCACGGAATCGATGTTGTATTTCCTGAAGGGCGAAGAGTTCCCCAGGGTTCGTCGTAGCATATCACTCGCACTACATCCTGTTACACTGCTCACATGCGAGACCGTAAACATCTGAACTGACAAATCTGGCTACAAGAACGTGCTCAGGCCACATGCTGAAGCCTTTGAAGGAGACCCGGAGTAGTCTGCAGGACTCTCCTAAACCCTAAACCCCAAACCCTGAAGGCCAAAGCATGACATGTACCCAGTCCTGGCGGTCCGAGCCGGATCGCCTTGAACATGTTCTACGATCACCTCCTGTGTTCGATATGTTTCGTTGTTTAGGGTTCAGGGTTTACGGGTTTAGGGGTTTAAGGTCTAGGGTTTGCGACTCTCACACTCGCACAAGGCCAGGGTTTAGAGATTAGGGGTTTAAGGTTGCGGCGCTCACACTTAGGGTTTAGGGTTGAGGTAAGCCAAGTTCTGGTCTTTCTACCAGCCGAAACCCAAGCCTTGGGGCTTCCTCAGACTATATTCTTGCTAGTCTACGTCTTACTGCTATCATTATATGCTGTTGTTAGTATGTATGTACATACATACATACATACATACATACATACATACATGCATACATACATACATACATACATATATATATATATATCAGCTGCTACCAAGACTATGACTATTACGATTACTTCTACTTTGATATCAGTATCATTCCTGCTTATTCCCCTTGCTATTCATCTTGCAAGGCTTGCTGTCTCGTCAAGCAACAGGACAGCTTCAGGGCAGGACCTACATGACTAGATCTGGCCCTGCAGCAGTCCGTCATGATGTACTTGAGAGTTCCCAGCACATCCTCAGATATCAAAAACCCGAGTGTAGCTGTGAATCGAGGTCGGCTACGATGCTTTCGGCGGGTGTCATACCGCCACGTTGCACCTTACCTTCCAATGAAAGACTACTTGTGATGCATCCAACAAACAGCCCCACTGCGGGGTGCAGTCTGGTATCTGCCATGTTGTTGTTCTGCACCTTGTCAGTCTCGTTGCCTCAGTGATTTATGCCAACGGCTTGCCAGCTTCATGGAGCTTGAACGGTCTCGGCAAGCACAGCCTAGGCAATCAAGAGTTACCTGGAGAATCAGGAGCTATCGTGGACAAGCGGACAGGCCCGATCATCCTGCAAAAGTACCTGTTCCAGCTGCTGCGCCTTGCCAACATCCGCACTACACACCTTAACAGGGACCAAACCCTTCAAACCCTGCAGGGCATGCCTCCTGCTGGCATCTGCATTGCCCGGAACATGTCAATGGTCTGCAGCAGCGGTCAGCAGGCGAAATTTAACTTCCCAAAGAAACTGTAGCACGGCTTCAAGCCGGGGGTAGAGGCTATGTTGGAACACCCTGAGCTCAGACCCTGCTTCCTCAAGACACCCTGCGGTTCAACTGAAACCCGAGAGCCCAGCCATTCGACTGAATTTTCGGGCTGGTCGCGTCAAAGACGAAATTGGTCAGCACATGTAATGGACTGCACTCTCGGCGCTTCTGCAGGTCTAGGGGCAAAAACGGTCTGTGTAGTCAGCTGCCCTTTTGGAAAGCCGGCTTCTTACGAAAAGAACAATACAATAAATTACAACACTACTGAAACAGCCACGGATAGCAACAGGTATTCGCACCGCAAACAGGGAGGTGTTGGAAGCTCGCTGGAAACCTCTGCCACATCAGCAGCCCACGGCAGCTTCTTCAGCCGGCCCCGAAAAGAACACTCAAAGAACACTGGTGTTCCTGGGAAACCCTAAACCCTAAACCCTAAACCTGTTCGGGTCTTATTGCAGGAAACTCGGGAAGAAGCCGGAGGCCAATGCCTGCATTGCAAGACTAGGGGTTCGAGGGATCTTGGACATGATGTAGGGGCCTTAATAATAACCAGAATAGTACCGTTTTGGGTTTTGGGCTGCTTTAGAGTATTCTTATAAAAAGGAACCCCCCCAAAAATAGTCTATAGGTAATTATTTGTTTAGGCCCCTGCCTGCAGCTCCATGGCCCAGGACCATGTGAGGAGCGTCGCAGTCCATATCCGCAGCATGAGAAGAGCCTGAGATTTGTAATAAAGGCACCATAAATCTGGTCAGGGGGTCGAAAAGAGCTAGCTTTGGGGGTAGGGATGGGTAGGCTACATCATTGAAATCTAAACCCTAGACCCTTATGATATCTTATGATTAGGGATCCATTGCGGGTCAAACTTCTATTAGCCCAGCGAACAGCCATAATCCGCCAGCTGCAACTACCCGGCAACCTCTAGCGACCAGTTGCTTGTAATCGGTTGTGGTTGCAGCATATGGGGGTTTCCGAAAAAAAAGAGGTCCCTATTATAGTACCCTAAATAATGGGATCCTGATTATAAGGACCCCAAAATAAAGTACACCTTATTTCCGGAAACTCCCATATTCTGCTCAAGGGGTTTCTGCTTTCGTCAAGGGGCTTCTGCCTTCGGCATGACCCGACATGCCCCAAACCAAGACCTTGTACTGCCTTGCGCCTCCCAGAGTGGAACGACAGCAAACTCGATTCGACCCTGAAGAGCTGCACGGACTCGGAAAAGCCTTCCCAACACAGCTCGCAGTCGCATGCTTGCTCAAGATCTTATCAACGATGCCCTCTGCTTGCCAAACAAGGCACAACGCTCCAGGATTCAACCAGGACCTCGAATCAAAGGACTCGCTGCTCCAGCCAACAATCACTATACTCTTCAGCTACACTGCACAGCTGAGCAGAAACAATGCTCCTAAACTCCTACTGTGCAAAACAGAATCTTCTTTCGGCGAGCTGCAGCGTTCCGGAGCAAAAGGCGGACGGGTGCAAGGCCCCCGCTGGGCCGTTGCGGTCTGACAACTTGAAGGAAGCCGAAACAGATGGCAGCGAATCGGCGGTCGGCGGGACTAAGTGACTAGAAGCATTCAAACTACGGTCCTTGTGGGTTTAGGGCTCAGACTTCTCTAGAATTTTCGACTCTCACTCTCGCAAAATAGGGTGTAGGGTACCAAGGGCACTATCCTGACAGCGGTCAAATTCGGTCAAGACAAATCCCAACAGTAAGAGCTAAGCGCCGGAAACCTCATGTCAACCGAACCAAGATTTGCACGATCTTTGCGAGGATGATCTGTCGTTTTGGGGTTTTAAAGTAGGCTCAGATGGCCCCACACCTTTACCACGTGTGACGGTCGAGCGCTTCCGAGATTCTGTATGTGACAAGCGTACGCATACCATCCGCGCCAAACCTTCTGAACTGCAGCTTTGGATAAACAGTTCTGCACCCCCTATACAGGAAGACACATGTAGAGCTTCGGGCTAGGTAGGGGAGCTCTGTGGCGACAGGTTCGGCACTTCGCTCGTCGATGTAGAGGGCGGCGGCACCCGCGACCACCTCAGGCAAAGTCATACAGTCGCACACATCAACACATGCAGCCACTTGACCTGTCTAGCGTTTCAACCTTTAATTGGTGGTTTAGCTCCGGTCCTGTCCTGGCCGACGCACCATGTTGAAGGTTCGTGAGACTTGGGGTCCGGGTTGATAGACTGATTACCCCCTGCCCTCCTGTATGTGCACTTCAAGCCCTATACCTACCCTCAAGCTTTGAAGCACCGTCGGAACATGAACCCTTAACCCTCGGCCCTAAACCCTCCAAACCATGAAAGCCCCAACCCTCCTAACGCCCTATCAGTCGAAGCGATCGACCAAGTTGCTTTCTGCGCCTGCCCGTGCATGCTACCGAGGTAAAAACAATCAACATGCACATCCAACATCTGAGCTAGCCTAGCCGATACACATGTGAATCTATATAAGTATATGTACATAGAAATGTCTACTTACAAACAGCTGTAAGGTAGTGATCATCATACAGGAGCACACCTCCACGCATTTATCCGCAGGCATGTAAGACCTCATATGCTAATAAGGGTGTGTATCACAAGCTTGAAAAATAAGTTGCGAAATGTGAGAGGAAACGAACTACAAGCGTAGCAGTAGTTGTAGTAGTAGTAGTAGTAGTAGTAGTAGTAGTAGTAGTAGTGGTAGTAGTGGTAGTAGTGGTGGTAGTGGTAGTTCAAGGTAGTCGTCGTCGTCGTCGTAGTAGACGTTGTCGTTGTGACCGAAAACCACAGAAGCTTAAGCTTAAGTAGCAGTGGCAGCAGCAGTAGCAGCAGCCCGCATGCATTGGCTGCTTTTTGTGTGCAGTACTGTAACTACACCACTGCTAAAGACTCTACAATATTGTGGACGTATGGGCATGTATTCCTGCACGTGTAGCTGAGCACGGTATGTGCTAACCCGTCGGTCTTCGCGGCTCAACACTAGGAGATACTATGACTAGTCACAATTGGCTCTGAGCGTCTCTTCCGACGGTGAGGCCGATCTGGCAGACCTCTGTCACGGGAGGAGGGTCTTCGACGGGCTACGACTGAGTTCAGCAAGCCGGTTTTCGCAGCCAACCATGCCGGTTAGGCTGGAGAGTGAGGAACTGAATTCGAATCGAAATGCTCTGAAGTGTGCGAGGACGCATGGCTGCTTTGTGGAAGGGCCAGGGCAAGGCAAGCAAATCACAGGAAAAAGCAACTGACAGCTTCCAGGATAGCATGCCATACATAAGCACGCTTCACACTGCATGGAGTGAATCAGGCCAAGTACAACTTGCACAATAGCAAACTCATCATCCTTATGAAGAGTATGTCCGTTCAAGTTTGCTGACGCTGTCAATCTGCATGCAAGATGCTCTTCCCGTGCCGCATAGGCTTTGGCGGCTGCTGATTTCGGAGGCAGGAACCTAAGAAAGCTGGTGCAATACAAATCGCTAGGTGGAAACCTTATGAGGCATCATGCCATCTTCGACCTATCGAGGTGATCTACAAAGTCCGATGTTTCGCATGGGCTGCTGTATGCCTTAGCACTGGATACCAGTTTGACTACGTAACAGAACGTCTCTTCTCAGACAACAGATGCTGACTGCGGACCTTCATCGGGATCTTGCGTGCTCAATCCTACACAGGGGCTCTCCGACTTTGACAGAGAGTGGAAGAACGAACGGAACACCTGGGTGTCGGGCTGCATCTGCGGAATCGGCTGGACTAGGTGACGCCCCCACCTCGGCGAACTGTGTCATGACATGAACAAGAGCAGGAGTAGCAGTACGGAAGTAGTATGGTAGTACTACTAGTGGTAGTCGTCGTAGCGGTAGTGTTAGTGGGAAGAGTAGCAGTAGTAGTGGTAGTAGTAGTCGTCGTCGTCGCGCTGGCAGCAGCAGCAATAGCATTGCCAGCTCCGCTGTGTAGGGTTACACAAGGTCTGATATCTGGAAAGCAAGTGCAAGACGTACTAGCAACAATCAGTGACAATGCCCTGCAATAGTCACTCCAACAAAGTTGGCAAATGGTGTTGATGGTCAAACTATGACTAACTACTTGGGACAAAGGATTTCAGCCATCTGCATCGCACTGGGTCTCCAAGAAGCCATATTTTCTCGAGTGCCACGCTGAATTGCCTGCATTCGCTGCCTCTCCAGCTCCTGACAAACCGCCGGCACTTCTATTTTGGATTTCAGCCTCAGTCTGCACCCGGCTCGGGGATGATGAGACTTCTGGACACATGGCGCTGAAACATAGAGGCTTCCGTGGACAAACAACATGCAGTAACCTTTGCAAACAAGGGGCAACGACCGCAACAGTGATTCTAATTCATCAGTTCCGATCGGAGAATTGTAGTAATTATCAGGTTCGGAAGTGAAGCAAGTCCCGTGTCCCGGATCCATCGGGAATGCTCGGTGACATGCGCGGATCCAAGGTGACGTTGTGTGTACTCACGGGGGAGGGGACAGGATATGGATCGAAGAGCACATGCATCCCGTCCCTAGCTTTGCCTGTTACACACCAAACGGGAAGGCTCACGTGTGTACATGCATCTGTACATGTATATAAATACACTATCGGTCTTTCCACCTCTCGAACTATATATATATATATAGACATACATACACATATTATCTTTCTTATCTATCTTATCTTCCTGCATATCTCACCTATCCTATCTATTTGTCTATTTACCTACCTAGCTATCTATATACATATACAGATATAGAAATCTAATACACACATACACACACACACACACGAGTATCGTATGTTCGCACCCTGGCCTCTTTCGACACATTGTATATGCGCAGACGCTAAATTCACGCCTGTGCGTGAACGACTGAACGGATGTATGTATGTATCAATCAATGATAGTGTGCATGCAAGCAAAACCCAAAGGGTCCTAGGTACTGTTCTGGGGGATACTTTCCCAAATCATAATAACAATTCCTAATATACAAACCCTGCATTCTACCATATAGGTACTTAGACCCTTTCGGAATGAGCCATGGAGAGGCGCTGCCCGAAAATTGTATAAAGGCCACCTCCGTACAGCGAACACGAAGGGAGGATCACGTAAATCAACTTCTCAGACCTTAAGTCAGCAATTCAAACCCTAACCCGCCAGGTACCTACTATATAGGGTACTAGAGCCCCTATATAGGGCCTTATATAGTAGGTACCTGGAGGGTTAGGGAAAGACCCTTCTGAAACCCGCTTCTGCCTGTCGCTGTCGGGCCATGTCGGCATGTTGACGCTCGACCTTCTGGGCCGTAAAAAAACGATGAGCTCATGTCTAAGCCCGTAAGAGCCTACCTATAGTCTCCGTTGTAGTTCCTGTTGGGGGATACCTTGTAAACTCGTTAATATATGTATGTATATATATATATATATATATATATTCGGTTAAACCAAAAAAGGAACTACAATGGAGACTATGCGTAAACCCTCAGACCCGCAACGCTTTCGGCCTCTAAAGGTGAAGGCCGCGGAGCGCCCATGCGCAAGGCTGCCTTGCTTCGGACTTCAGACTTCAACTTGTTCGTTTGCTTCGCATGGTCTTTACGTTGACAATGGCGTGTGCCTAGCAACTGCCTGAACTGGACGTGTGGCTGCGAAGTCTGGCAGGTGTGTTGTGGCGGAGACCGACCAGCCAGTATCGAGGGATACTGACTGAAGTCCAGTGTCAGCCTGAAGCTCTTTCAATCCTTGGGGTTCCTTCAGCGAGGGGTTCCTTCAGCGAGGTAGCTGTGTTGCAAAGGCCCTGTTTAAAAAAACACAGGGTGTTGAGCCGCGAGACAACTCTTGGCACGTGGCACCATCGTAAAAGCAACAATCGTAATGTAGTCATAGCAAGACAAGGGCTAGGGCAGCCTCTGAACTCAAAATAATCGGTAGTAGCGGAAGGCCTGCCGAGCCATTTCATCTTCACGAGCCTGTGCCAAGCAAGCGGGCATGCGAGTGTGCAAAGGGTTGTAGCTTCAAACTCTGGCTAGGCCATGGCTGCAAGCTTGGCTTTCGACTGTCGCAGTTATGCGAACCGAGATTTTCGACTTTAGGATTTGGGGCTTGGCTCGGGTTAAGTGGCCAAAGGTCATCGGTCTTGTCGTCGTCGATTCTGTTGTCGTCGATTCTGCGCGGACTGGGACTGCCGCAGCCGGGGGCTGTCGACTGCTGCATTTGTCATCCTTCCTTCTTTCATTCCAGGGGCTTAGGGTTTAGGGTTTCCAGCACCTCCCAGAACCGAACCCTCGAACCCAAGACTTCCAACCATCTCAATGACCCCCTCCCCAAACACTCCGCCTCCTGCTGCAGGATCTCTGCCTCCTCTTTCCATCCTGCGGGAGATGTACTGAAAACCCGTAGACCACGCCACCAGTTTAAGCTTGCACAAGCATTCGCAAATCCGATGACCTTGAAGCCCAGTACCCTGGCCCGAAAAAGTTTAAACTCTTCTTTTAGTAGGGGGTTTAATATACCAAAAAGTTTAAAGTTTACCTACTGGGCTCCTAAGATGACCTATAGACAGTCAGGTCAAGAAAGTATAGCACGACCAACAAACTGATTCTCAATGTGAGTTTCAGAGTTTCATTACGTACGTGTACCAATGCCGGCGCAACTAAGGCTTAGTCAACCTGGACCCTCTGTCTCATATACTGAACCTCAGCAAAACCGCAGGAGGTTCCAGCCCCCATCTGGAGCATACCCCTTGAAACCGGACTTGATGACTGGAGCATACCCCTAAACCCTAAAACCTAAACCCTAGCTGCTAGCTCGCCCATGTTCGGTCTGAGGTGGGTGCTCAGCAGCTTCTCGTTCACCAGTCGCACGGTCTCGTCCGCCTTCTTGTAGCTGACACCTGAACTCCGACCGCAGTCCAGGTCCGTGAGTTCGGAATACCGTCCGACGTAGTGGAACCCCGGCATGCATGTGCTCTTGGTCCTCCTCCTCCTCCAGGTGCTGCTGTTGCTGCTGCTATATGGCTATTGTTTGCGCTGTGCGAGAGGTTACATTCGATAGACTCTTAAACTTCTCGCGAACACTAAATGCAACCTCCGGCCCCGGCGTTTCGACGCGTCTGCATGCTTCAGGATAGCAGCCGCCATTCCTCGGCCGACACCGCAGATGTTGAAGCAGAAGCTCTGACAAAGCTCTGGAGCTGAGGAACCGGAGAGTTTGGAAAGACGGTTTAGGGTTTAGGGTTTAGGGGTTTAGGGGTTTAGGGGTTTAGGGTTTAGGGCTACCTCCACAACCACCCTGTGTGACCCCCTTGAAGCCTTGAGGTGTGAGCCTTTTCCCCTGGCTTTCTGCAGCAAGGAACGGTCGGTCGCCACTTCAGAGAGTGCATGGGTTTAGGGTTTAGGGTTTAGGGTTTAGGGTTTAGGGTTTAGGATGACTAGGCGCCCCGGCGCCACTGCATAGTGAGCTTCTCGTGCATCAACCGTGTGGCTCTCACGGCATTGGCCTTGCTTTGATACAATCGTCACACTATGCTCGAATTCCTGTAGCCCGCAAACTCAGTCGCCTAGTCTGCCATTGGATCACCATGTCATACCACGTCCATTTCAGTGCTTCGCAGAAGCTGAATACCAAAGCTACCAGCAACAGCAACCGACGCTTTTCAGTAAGTTGCACTAGCCTATCACATGTATGCTTGGCGAGTCTCATCAATTGCTGCCCTCACGATGTGCCAGAACCTGTGACACCAAAATCTTGCCTTTGTCCGCCAGATCAGCCAACACAAGCGCCTGTTACAAGAACACCCTGCTTGCCTTCCTGAACCCTCCCAAAGTTCCCCCAACCCTACCTTAAGCTACCAAAGCCTACTTTTTGTAGGGTGCCTATAAATTCTAAAATAGAGTTTGTAACAAGGACCTATAAAAAACTAGGTTATGGTAGCTTAAGGTAAACATGAAACCCCTAAGCCGTAAACCCTAAAAAGACTACTAAAAGCTCACCCAGCTCCGGGCCCAGATGTGCGGAGCCAGCTTGTTGCAAGACTCGGCGCGCTGCAGCCGGCCTCGTATCACAGCAAATATTACCCTAACCTCCCAGGTACCTACTATAAATGGTACTAGAGCCCCTGGGGCCCTATATAGTAGGTACCTAGGGGGTTAGGGTTACTTCTGGGAGAATCTGAGAAATCAGAGTAGCTAGCGACGTAGAACATACACAGTAGAGCAATGGCCATTCTCTTTGAACTGGAGAGGTGGAAATGGCATGTGTTTGGACCAAAATGGTGTGCGTATCCCAAACTGCTGAACGATGCATTCCGAAGCCCGTCGCGGCAGATATCATCAACGAACAGAAAGGCGGAAAATCCCGGCAACTCTCCTTGTGACGAAGATGGGCCTCTTTACTTCCAGCATGCAGTGGCAAAGAATGGCAAGGAACTAGAGCTCCAAGAAACGTGGACGCGTGCTGCAAAGCAAGAATGGCCAACGGGGCCCGGACCCTCGGACATCTGGAAGAGGTCCTACAGCAAATTGCATGGTCAAAGATGCCGGCCACCGCCACCGAAGTCGTAAAGCCATGGAGCCCTATTCCCCTCAGCCTTCTTAGAAGAGCTTCGAGGGGCAACATTGCATCGGTGGTTAGCGCAGCGGCAGCACCACTGCCTTCCGCTGTGTCTGCAATACTGCCTGATTGCTGGAAGGTTTGGGTAGCTGTGAACCGCCATTTGATGTATCCAAGTACTGCCAAGTGCTCACGCAGAGACGCCCGTACGGCCATCAACAGGTTAGAGGAAACTGTTACGACTGTTGTCGTTATAAGACAATGTCATTGTCGTTGCTTGAGCAAGTCGTCGTGGTGGGCCCAATCCTCTAAACAGCAAAACTCTCCAAATTCCATAAGACAAACCCAGAATACCTGTTTATGGCAACATAGAACGTCCCCTGTTCATACAAAAAACACATGCATACTTTCAGGCTACCCCCCCCGGAACCCAAACCTTACCCAGACACTCCGATGTTAACAAGGCCCTAACCCCCCAGGTACCTACTATATAGGGTACTGGAGCCCCTAGGGCCCTATGTAGTAGGTACCTGGGGGGTTAGGGAGGGTTGCAGCATTTGTCCTTCACGAAGCCAGAGGCGACCTCCACCTCTGCGAACGCAGCGCCTTTGCAGACTCAGCGCGTATGTTTCTCCATCTATCTATCGACCTATCTACCTATCTTTCTGTGTTTGTGCGGGTGTGTGTGTGTGTGTGGAGGAACCCCCAATTTTGTAAAGGTAATTATTTTGGCTTCTATATTATCCTGAAATCATGGGTGTCGCAGGGAATTAGGGGGTGGCAGCCGTGACTCAAACTGGAATCGGACCATCCCTGTCAAAAGCACCCCTTCTGTCAGCTGCAACTGCAAATCCTGAACCTGAAGCCGTGAACCCTCTAGGTCTTTGAGTGGTGTTGGAGGTATTATGATACTGAGTTGAGGGTCACGGTCCGACAAGATCAGCTTCAGCTGGGTTTTGCTTCATGCTGAAACAGAGCGAAATCGACAAATCCTAGACAACTGTGCAGGGTTCCTGTTGCCATCCATCCTTTTCCGTCCGCTCGTGAAGCGAAAAGGCCATGGTGGCTTACCGGTTTGGGTTTAGGTCTTTATCAACCTCTTCGCCGATCGTCCATGTACTCATATAGTATATAAATACATTGGCCTTAATGTAGGTCCTATATAGGTACTTTAGGGCCCATGTATATGCTATATGAGTACATGGACCCTTAGGGTAAGGGACCGTTGTTGACCTGTCCTCCCCAAGCAGTTCACACCGTGCAGCAACAACCACAAGCACGTTGCTAGCGAAAGTGAACTGCCACTACTTGGAGGTTCATGGGTAGTTATAAATGGGGTTATAAGCAAGGTAACTATAGTTATAACTTATAACCCATATTAGGGGATCTATAACCCCACTTATAACTGCCCATGAACCTCCCAGTATATCCAGGCCTGAATCTGTACAACTGTTCAACGCCATACTCGTAACTAGGTTGCTCTCGGAAGCCCTCTGCAGAGTCTGTTGTTTTCCCTGAGGATCTTCTACATCTACGAAAACCAGAACACACATTGCAAGAAAGGCACAGATAACCCTCAAGCACCAGACCCCACTAATAGCCGGGCTCCGGGCTCAGCTCTTGCATGATCCGTGTAGCTGCACCCATGGCCTAGCCGAGTAGACTTGGTAGTAAGAGGGTTCGGCTTTAAGGATATTATGCTCTCCCATGCTCTCCCAACTGGGACACTGCCAGAGGAGGTCTTTCGCGCTACAACTGCAGGTGCAAGGACTTGGGGTCGAATGTTTCAGACCGGCGCTTGCGATTCACGGAAGAGGGAGGAAGTCTGACGAAGTCTATGTCGGGGCTTCGGCTGTATGGAGACTGGCCAAGATCTATCCACAAGCGACAACGGAATGAAGCAGTGACTCAATGACGGAACCAGCCGTCTGTTGCCGTTGCATGGGGATCTGAATCCCCGAAATCGAACCCCTGATCGAAGACGATGTAGAGCTGATCTCGGGGTGGCCGTTCGGACATGGTTCAAGACACGAGTTTCAGCTCTGAGAGAAGGAAGATACACTAGGTCACTAGGTTCTGAAGGCCAGCATGCATCTGCATGTTGTTGCGTGTCCGGATGTCATGCCGAGTTGTCGCCGGGCTTTGTGTCCGGATCTTCTTTTGCTGGTGAGGCCACGCACGCCGGGATCTGCCACAAATAAGCACCAACAACGGCCGCGAAGACTTCCGAAACTCTCAGGCCACCGCCCAAAACCCATGGCAAAGCACGCAAGTATCAAGTCATGGCTACCAGAGTATAGGATATGTGAACCCTTCTAGCTTCCAAAGTCCCCTGTTCATCTTCAGCCTGCTTCACTTGCATCGGCTCCTCAGCGTTCATGGCCTGAGTCCAGGCCTCAGCCACAGGCGGGTTTTGCCGCCGACCTCCCCCCGAAACTAAGCTGAGCATGACCGGCGTGCTGCCTTCCGTGGATCGGTTGCGGCATCACAGGCCAAGCCCAATAGTTGCAATATAGAGGATTCGGCTGCTCCCATGGACTAGGAAGCACCGGCCTCTCTGCGGCTGGGGGCCATATGGGCAGTCTTGTGTGCGACAGTACCAGCCAGCCTCGATTTAACACGCCGAGACTGGCGGCTCTATCACGTTGCCTTAACAGCAATTTGGGCCTTTTCTGGTGCTTACTATACTTGGGCCTTCATTTGGGCCTCCATCTAGTTCGCACTTGGAACGAGTTTGGGTGCACATTGGGCATCTTTGGGTTTCGACTCTCACTCTCGCACGCAGCAGGCAGGATCCTCGATCTTTGGGTTTAGGGACAGCAGCGAGAGCAGTATCATCATCGTCACGGTCATCGACAACGTGCATCCTGCTTGCTGGCAACATTTTCCGCCAATCACCGGTGCGACTAAACAAGTAAGCAGATTCAACACGTAAACAGCCGTGCCTGCACTCTCGCGGATATGTCAACAACAACGACAAGAAGATCAATAATAAGGGTAAGAAACACAAATAAGAAGACACCGACACCAACACCAACAGCGACAGCACCGGCTACAGGGAACAAATAATGCCCAAATAGAAGCCAAAGTTGGCACCGCGACAGAAGCTAAATCCAGAATCCAGACCAGATCCGGCCAGGGTAAAACCCTAAACCCTGAACCCTAAAACCCAAATCCCGGCCAGATCAGGCCCGGAAGCAGGCCCGGGTAATGGCCAAATCCTTGCCACCGGATACAGTAAGGGCCAAACGTGCATATTCCCGAGGAATCCCAGACACTTGGCCTTCCTTATGTGGCCCGTATCCGGGCCGGCTTAAGGACCAAGTTGAGGACGAAGCGACACGATTCCTCCCAACTAAGTTCCCTAGCATCGCACCAAACACTCTGCAACACTTTGGAACGAAACTCATGACCTGGGCCTGGCAAGAACTTCACAAGTACTAAAAACCGAACAAGTCAAGACCAATTGGAAACCATACGCAGACCGTTCGGAGACCAAGTAGGGACAATTTAAGGCCCGATTGAGAACCAAATGAGGACCAAACAGGCGCCAAATAGAGGACAATTATAGGAACCAAATAAAGACGAAATGGAAAGCCAAATAGCCACCTAATCGAGCCCCTGCAAGGACGCAATACCCCTCTAAAGACCCCTTTTCATGAGAACGTGCTAGAGAGTATGTACAGGGTGAAACATCAAGAAGTTCTGGGCCCGCTGCGAAGCTGGATTTGTCTTTGAATGTGTCCTCAGATCAGCGCGGACTCGAAGACAAGTGCACAAGAGCAGCGGCGAGCGGACCAATAGCCACAAGTCGTGATAGGCCACTGCATCTTCTGCTTACGACGTGGCCATGAAAGTAACTGATCCAAACAATGCATGAGATCTCCCATCAGACTGGACCAGGGAAGGGATGCTGCTCATGACGCTCACGCACACTCCAACTCGAAGTCAGTCAGTGCAGGCATGCGCGCGTGCTATGTAGCTGCCCCATCCAGAACAACACTGCACAAATCGAAGCCCACCTAGCATAGCCAGGAGATGTCTTCGGCTGCACGCCGGACATCCAAAAATCACGTAAACCCTCAAGCCTGCAAGCATGCACTCACGGGAAAATCTCGGAAAGGTTACCCTAACCCCCGAGGTACCTACTATATAGGGTACTAGAGCCCCCAAGGGGCCCTACTTGGTAGATACTTGGGGGGTTAGGGTTCGGCCTGGTCAGAGTGCCGGTTGTGACAACACGTTTTCAGAAGCCTGACACACCACTCTCTGTAAGCCGCGGGTACCAAGGGTTGCTGTCGTATGGCAATATGGATCCTTATGTACTTTACGTCCGGGAGACTGTACACATCATGGGTCCACGGAGCTTCTAGCGATGTGTGTGTGACGGTCTGCGAGACTTAAGCACCCAGCCAACCACTTGGCATTCTTTCGAAGTTTGCGAACCTCAGAAACACATGAAGCTAAGGACTGAAGTGACTGGAGCAGATCCGCATGCATCGTGCTCTCAAGCAGTATGACAACCTAGCGTGCTATGCGCACATGCACCGAGGAAACAAACAGTTGCATCTCAAGCCTGCCGGCTTGGGAGCAGTTTCGGAGTACCCCTTCGCAACTAGGTCTTATTTTCCATTTTCGGAGCCTGCGAAAATCTGGTGTGAAACGTGAGGACGCATCTTTGGCGCACCCTACCGGGATGTTTTGAGCGTGGAGTTTGTATATGGTGTGTTAATCCAGATGGTGCTGGATAGTAAGAGTGTGCTGATCCACATGCTGCGATGGTGGCAGCGGAAGCTCATGCGCAAACATTCCGGTCAATTCCTACATCACAGCAGGTGTGATTTGTAGCGAGTCCTCGGATCCAGCGCATAGTTGCGCTGGTGCTCCTGGTGACGACAGCCAAGGTCTTACATCAGCCGAGCCATGTAGCTGTTGCTACAAGCGTTCCACATGACATGC